CTACGTCTGTTAATCTAATGACCGCATAATCTCATCTTGGGAATTAGACAATCTACACGTGTAACTGATAGAGGTGAATGTCGTAGGGTTGCTCAGATAATCTTTTGCCTCATGAAGAGAGATAGAGTGGAGCTAAGAAAGACACTATACTTAGAGATATTATACTTAAAGATGCTGCTCCCTCCGTTTTTTATTATAAGATTTAAATGACCAAATTACATGATTTAAGAAAGGGTTAGTTTGTTAGTAGTGTTTAGTTAGGTTGTTTCTTTCTTTTCTGATTGGTGGATGTATTTTCATTTGTGAGGGGTGTGTTTTTTAGGTTGTATTGCTAGGTTCTTTTGAGTGTCCCCCCCCCCCCTGTTTCGGCTTCAGCTCTTAGTGGGGGTACTTGCTTCTTTGAATATTAATAAAATGGACTCGATCTCTTTTTTGGTTAAAAAAAAATGAAAGGGTTAATATAACTTCTTATTATTGTGTAGATTGTTTTATAGATATATATATATATATATATTAAATAGGGATAAAGTTAGAAAGTTGTTAAATATTAAAGCAAAGGTAATAAAGTTTAAGTTCTCTTTGATTTCGATAAAACAAGTTAGAAGTGACTTATAAATAAGATGAAATAATTATATTGTATTTAAATTTAAATACAAGACACATTCCATAGAGTCACTTCAAGTCTAAAGCACATGGTGTAAATTGGGGTTAATAAAGTTATATATATGATGGTGGGTGGAAAAGAAAAGTAGGGAAGATGAGATATGAAGAAATTAAAGTGGGGAAAAAGCCATATATGCCATTTCAAGTAAAAAGCAGGGTGTCAAAACCTTTCAAGTTGTAGCCATTCAATTTGTGAAAGCAACACATAGTGAATGAGAGTTTTGAGGACCACTTATCTCTTAATTTGACATATGCGTGCTTCCTGCCTTCCTTGCCATATTCTGCTTTCCGTCATTTTTGACATTTGAGTTAATTGTCATGTCTCTCTTCTTACCCTTCCTATATTGTCATAATCCTTCCACCATCTCATGCATACTTTATGCATATGGAGTGTGCAGCTTTCTGTTGTTATTATTTTTGTTTATTAATACTCATTTGTTCTTAAAAGTAAGGGCTAGAGAGGAAGTTGGTTCTTTTTTTGTTTTAAATGTAAGGTTTTAGTTCATTCTATCTCTCAATATTTATCATTTTTTTCTGAATTAATTCATCAAACTTATAAACTAATATACTCCTCTAGTCCTAAATATAATACTCATTTTATAATATAATTTACACTACAAAATAAGTCTCATATTTAGGATCGGATTGAGTATAATTTAATGTTACATGGGCATACTTGTGGAGATCATGCATGTCACATTTATCAGAATGAAGTAATTTATTTTGAGACATAGTTGAGACTTGAGAGGCATAGATTTACAATATTTATAAACTGCTTACCAATAATGTCTCACATCAATGATGATCTTTCCATCTAAATCAATCTCTCCACATGGTCTAAGAATTATTGTCATTATTAACCACATTTCGCGGCGGAGGAATTTTGCTACTGATCAAGATACTGTCCCCCAGTCCATCCCATATTGTAAATCAAATTTCACAGATATATGAATATTCGTGGAGATAATATTTGTATATCGCTTTGACCTCTTTGTCTATGGCTCTTCCAGTCATCAATGTCTTTTTGGCTCCACTTAGTGATATTCATTTTTAAATCAGACTCTATAGTCAAAAAGCTCAAGTAGAAAGGGGTTAACTACTATTATTTCTCGTTCTTAATATAAGAGCTAAATAATATATTGGCTTTCTTTATAATTAATAAGGATATTTTTAAAAAAAATATCTTCCGGTTTTAAAATATATTTTGGATCGGAGGGAGCGTCACAACATGGGCTTTCTTATGTAATTTTGTTCTCCTATCTAGAGGTTTTAACCATGTTTATTTTCTAGTTTATCATTATATCTCCTTGTTTTCCAGGAAGTTCCCTCCGTGGGATTCTTCTATTCAACTTATATATATTTTGAACATTCTATCTTTTACTTTTTTAATACAATTGTTTTTATTTAAAAAAAACTATATATATTGACTAGCCTATCAAACCACGAATTTGAAACAGGTGGATTCACACAAAAGAACAACTATATATGTTAAATAACTTTTTTCAATGGCTTCAAAAAAGTTATCTTTCAAAATTTGACATTGAAGTGTGACTAGTTTACACGTAGTATTTCAACTTATAACGTTAAGAATAACAAACTTTTCCATTAATACATATAAATGATAGAATCTCATACTAACCTTCCAAATTTTAAAATATGAAAATTTTGTCACTGATGTTATCCAACTTTTGACACCGAAAATTGAAAAATAAAACTTGTTTTGATAATGCAGGTAACTATTTGAAACTAATCTTTTGAAATTTTGACATTAATATTTAAAAATTTAGTAACTGATATTCCAAGTTCCAACTTACAGGATTCGTATACGTCTAAATCCCAGTCTATGGGCTAAATGGGTAGATTCCCTATAGCCCAAACCCATTTTGAGGGTATTTATTTTTTAAGCGTCAATAGTATATAAAAATTCATTTGGCAATTCTTTTTTTCCCTCTTGATTTTTGGTGTTTTCGCTATATTATTATATAGCAGTTGTTATTCTATTTTATTTTAAAAATGAAATACAAATATCATTTTAATCTACAAAAATTTCTTTCTTCTTTTAATTTTGGTTGCACACAAGTCACACAGATCCTCCCATTTTATTTATAAGGCATTTGGATGAGAGGTTTTTTGCATAATGATTATTTAGTACTTCCTTTCATTGCTTTCCATAAGAAACATTTGACCAAATCATATAAATAAAAAATTAGTTAAAATTGGTTAAAAATGATATATATATATATATATATAAATTGTAATTGTTTCCCCTCAAAAACACATTTATTTTACAAGGGTGGGAGAGTATAAGATAATAAAATTATTAAAAGAAAGAGAATTATGGAAGAGATTGGCAAAAAAAATTATGGGAGGATGTGTCACAGAGAGTATTAAATAATGAATGATACTTGGAGAAATAATATAATAAATATATAAAGTATTAGAATAAATGGTTAATAGGCTTAAAATAGAAGACTAACCAAACAAATTGAGGCATATTGCAAACATTTCTTATGAATAGAAACAAAGTAGAAATGGCACAGACGGAGCATAATTTTCTATTTTTATTCCTATTTAATATTGATGTATCAAATTCACTAAAAAAAAATTGATGTATCGAAGTAGGAAATTTTTCAAGGATATATTTAATATAGGCAAATTAGAAAATTTACTCCTTCCATAAGATGAAAAATTTTGGGATGACTGATAAAATAGAATCGGGGGGAATATATTTATATGTACGAATATTTTTATGTGCTATATTATGAAAAAATTTGGGATGACTAATAAGGCACATTATTTAAGCAAACAAAAATATGACTTCTTACAATGATTTACTATTTACAAATTATATCAATACAGCACGACTCGCATTAATCTCCATCTTTCTCCTCATTTTATCAAATATTATTTATATTTTTTCCTTTGTACTCTATGTTTTAACTTTTTAATTAGATTTTTGAATTCCCCATCAAAACTTTCAACCGCACATCAATTTATAGTACTTAAAAATAAAGAACTTTTATATAGGGAAAATTGCAAAAAAAAGACCTTGGAATTGCAAAAACGCAGATAGGGACCCTTGACAACTTCACTTTGGGTTTTGACAACTTTAGGGCATATTATTCTTGTCAAAACCCAAAGTGAAGTTGTCAAGGGTCCCTATCTGCGTTTTTACAATTCGAAGTCTTTTTTTGCAATTTCCCCTTTTATATAATCATAACAAAAAGCCCATAGCTTATTTCTGTTTTTTTTTTTGTTGCGCCAAATAGCTTATTTCCACGTATATGGGAAGGAATTTTGAGCAGAAAGCTGTGAATTGATTCCAGGATTGATATTATATATATATATATATATATATATATATATATATATTTAAGACACAAGCACAACAATTTGACTGCGTTCATATGTAATTTGAAATGTCGTTAATTACCGATATATACTCATCAAACTATAGCAGAAATTTCTTTGTTAATTAGCATTGGCTCCATTTGTTAATTAGCACTGGCTTCATATTGAACAAAATTTCTTAACGTTTAAAATTTAATAGCGAACCTATCAAAATTTTTACTCCGTATGAATAGACCCCAATTATCAATTATATACCCCCTTAAATTATGTGCGCGCATGTAACCTTCTCAAGTTTTGAATTATACACACACACACAAGCCCCTAAACTCTTAACATGTGTAGATAAGTAATGAACAAGATTTCTTATAAGAGAGCCATATGCATTAATGCGAGTTTTAGAAGATTTATTATAAAATTTCAAATCTTAAAAAGGTCATTCGGTACAAAGCATTGAGAATGAGAAATAAAAATAAAGATTAAAATTAGAAAAAACTACTTAAAAAGTATTTAGTACAAGAGATTATTTATTACTTAGAATTAAACAAAACTCATATAGATGGAATTAGAAAATACCATATTTTGCTATGGTGTTTCCCAACTCTGCCTAGACAGGTTTGTGTTATACTAAATAACAAATAATTTCTCATACTAAACACTTTTTCAATAAATTATCTCAATTTCAATCACAATCCTCACCTTTCATTCTCAATACTTCATACCAATTGGGACCGGAGAGGTTGTCTAAACATAACATAAAGCCCATAGAGTTCAAGAGAGACATGTAAAATTTCGCCCAGAAACAAACTAAATACCAATGTCCTACTTTGCAGCAGTAGAGTACTTCACATAGTATGGGATTCATATGCTCAAATTTCCAAATGGATCTAAAATTAACCTTTAATGAAAAAAAAATTGAAAAGTAAATTATTCATGTTATTACATAAAATTTCCACCAAGTCATCATTGAATATACAGCCTGATAATCACACCTAGATTGAAACATCCATATCATCACCCCCTTGCTTAAAATCAAACAAGAGAAAAACTTAAATTCTAGATTAGCCCTTACTTCTCATCCCCCCTAGTTTTGTTTCCCTCTCGAAGGCCATGTTTTGATCTCAAATGGATTTCAAGTTACTTTACAACACCTTCATTCTCAATCTGCTTTACAAGAAGATAATACATATCAAATCCACCATATATATACATATATATATTCTCTCCAATTCTAAATATAAAACCTATATTATAGTGTAATTTACACTACAAGATGAGTCCTAGTCAAAGGAGTACATGAACATGTCAACACAGGTAGAATTTGGACCTCCTTAATTTTTCTTTTCGTTTTCTTTTCATTTCTTGTCAATCCCAAAAAGAGAACCCAGAATATATGTTGACTTTATCACTCATCAGGTGAGAGCCATAAAATGTGTTTGTTTATCTCTCTTCAAAGTTTGACAAGAAATGAGGAGAAAATGAAAGAATAGATCCAAATCCATATAGGTCTTCAGTGAATGGTGTTAAACATGCTTATATATGCATCTCTTTGTGACCTTTTTGGTTTTTCTTTTGAAGATAGTGTTTAGTGAAGAATTTTCCCAAAAGCCAAAACATATTACTAAACAATTCGCTAGGGAAACATCTGGTGGTGTTGAGAGAAATTGTAATTGGATTGAAGTTGAATCTCCTTATTATTATGGTCGTCATCATCTTCTTCTTCCTGGTGATGGTAGTTGTGGTGTGGGTGCCAGTCTCTTTCCAAAATGATTTGTTTAGCCATGGAGGCTGCCCGGTTCTCGTCTATGAGTTCTCGTAGGGCGGCGCTGCATCTCGCCGAGAGATCAGCCGGAGAAAGCCATGAATGGTCACTCTTAGACGATGACAGAAGAGAGAGAGCACAGCCAGATGATGGTGGAGGTGATGATGATAAGTAAGGGAACCCTCCAACCAGTAACTTATTTTCTGTGTCAACAATATTAAAAAAAAAAAAACTAATTCGACCATCTACTCAAATATATATATAATTTTTTTGGTCGAGTGATGATGGATAGTTCATTCAAAAAGAACAAAACTTAAAAAAAGGTAATTTGAAATGTTTTGTCGAATCACACACAGATATTATTTGATCCCATGTTAGATGCAAAATTGAGGACAACCACACTTTTTCAGATTCTTGCATGCTTGTTTGACAAGCTGATGATGTCTTGAATTAATTAGGGTGAGAAAACTAGGGTTTGGAAAATACCATGTGATTATTAGTGAACTTAATAATCATTTGCTGATTTGATTTATAATTATGTTAATTAGAGGCTTTATGAAATATTCATTATTTTGAGCTGTCTCAAAAATACACATATTAACTACTTCTAGGGCAAACACGTGAGGTGTATATAATGTTTCTTGAGAATTTCATGTTATGATATTAAATTGAGCTTTGAACTGATTAAGCACCATCCGTTCCACTTATAGATGAGTGGGAATTAATAATTAAAAATTTTTTATCATAAACTCTTTAAAAAATTTACTATCACAAGGACTCAACGGGTAACTGGTAGTTGATTTTAAATACTATATTCTTGAACAATATCAAGAATCTTTAAAAAATTATATAATATTCGGATTATTCATTAGGAAATTATTTCCCACACCCCATATTAATTAAGAAGTTCAGAGTTCAAGGATGAAGAAAGAAAACAGCATACCCAAATATACACAAATTCAAAGAACAACAAGTTACTAGGGCAACAAACATTGGTTTAAAAATCTCAGTTAACCAGACATAAGCACAAGTTTCGGACAGCAATATTATTTATAATTTAGAAATTAGAAATTAGCTAGTTGAAACTTTCGATTTATTAATTATTATTATTAATATTATTAGGAATGGATTAATTGGATTAATTACCTTGAGAGGAGGAATTCCTAGTGACAGAATCGTGAAAGCTCTTTCTTCTTCGTTCATTGTGGCCAGCCAGTCTCCTACGGCAACTTCTCTTGGAATCATCGAACTCCGATACCACATGAAACCTGTCCCCAGTAATTACTTCATTTTCTGCTTAATTTTTCTCAGAGACTATCATAAAATAATTATTATCATAATTATTATTAGTTGATTAGTATAGAATTACTACCTGCTACACTGTTGACAAAATCTCTGCTCCAACCCTAACACGACAACCTTCGGTGCCTTGGAGTGCATCTCACAAACTTTGTGTCTCCGGTGGTACTCCTTCGCGTTCAACAGCGCCACGTGGCAACCCTCCACCTGGCACCTCGGCACCGTCGTTGCCGTCGCCGTCTTCACGCTGCCGCCATAGAATCCTCTCCCTCTCTTCCCCGCCAGAGCAAACCCGCCGTCGCCTCCGCCGCCCCCAAGAGGAGCATTAGCGTCTTCAAAATAATGCCTCTTCCCCAGCTTCAAGCACATGAGATGTGGGTCCAGATGCACGTGGCCCCCATCGCCGGAGTACAAAGCCTCCGGCTGTTGTTGCCGCCGCCGCTGATGATGATGATGGTGACGATGACCATCGTGCTCAACGCCGCGGTCGTGGTCACGATCAACAGCAGCAGTAGTAGTACTAGCCTGAGGAAGAAACATGAGCGCGTTTGCGAGGCCAGCCTCGTGGCTAGCAGTGGTGGCGACAGCGGCCGAGGTGTCCGCCGTATGGACGGCGTAGAAAGTGTTTATGAGGGTAGAATTGTTAGAAGAAGGTGGTTCCCATAACTCCCAAGAAAAGTTGGTACTGTTATTACTATTTCCACCACCGTTTTGCTCTCTGTTGGCGTTGTTCAAACAGAACATGCTGTTCCCTTCAAAGTCCATGTCTCTCTCTCTTTTCCCTCTCTTCGAGGTATCAAAAATGGTAGCTGATAGCTTACTATTCTAGCAGTGGGTTTAGTGCGGGGGAGAGAGAAAGAGAGGAAGAGAGAGACAAGAGGGATGCTTTTTGTTTGAGTAAAAGAGGAAAGAGAGAGAGAGAGAAGGGATCAAATGCAGAAGAGAGTGCAGGTTTCTCTGTTTGTACTAGTCCAATGGGAGGAAGAAGGAAGCGGGTGATATCAAATTAAATAGTTGGTGTAAAAGCTGCGAGGCTACACACTCCGAGAGAGTACTAATGTGGGTGTGAGAGAGAGAGAGAGAGCGAGAACTGTGGCACGTGAGAATGGGTGGTTCGTCCAAAAACCCGCACGTGGGAGGACACCTATTATTTTAATTGGATTCTTGCGCCGGGGGAAGGAGAGAGAGAAAATTGGAAACAGAAGTGTGATGAGGTGGGAGAGGACAGAGAGCCGAAATGTGTCAGAAAAGATGTTCTTTTTATTAAAATTACTCGGCTTTCAAATTTAGTATCCCATCCCATTGTAAATATAAAAAAAAAACAAAGACAAAAAAATCATATAAAAATAAAAAATACAAAACATGCACCGACATAAAACAAAATAACCAAATGAGATGATGTATGAATGTGGAATTTTTAACTTTTGATGGAATGATTGAAATACCTATCTAGTGAGAGAAAAAGAAGTTGAAGGTGAAAACACTCCAAACAGAAAAAAAGACATTGATGAAACACGTGAAAGAGGAAGGTTGGAGTAACATGTTTAAAGTTAGAAAGAGAAAAGCCAGCAGTCTTTTGAAATGTTATTATCTTACTCTTCTGTATCACCATTCTATAGACATTATTGATTTGATAAATTTTGGTTGTGAGTAAGAGGGTTTGTAATAAGAAAGGGAGTAAACATGTAGCATTACGTAAGTAAGTAAAAGTTGATAGTAGAGTTTGGGTTTTTCTTTTCTTTTTTTTTTTGGCTCCTTCATGATGAAATGGGGATAGGTTTGCTGGTGATAAGGATTTATATTCGGTATTTGGTGAGGATGAGAGAATGAAGTATCAAAAATTAGAAAATGGTGACAAGCAATTACGTAACTGTGAAGTTTGCGTGCAAATAATAAGAATAAGATGGTTAGTGTTGTTAAAAAAATTATCAAGTTGTGAAACCCTATAATAAAGTTGCGAATAGAAGAAGAGTATGTGTATGAGTTTTAGGTGTCACATATGCTGATGAAAATTGATTGTTGGAGAATAAGGGTGAAAATAGGCCAAGTGGCTTGCTAGGAGCCTGTAGCTTAGCCTATTTAAATACAAGAGCAAACTCAAGCCTATAAAAGGACCTGTTTATGTTATCAGGCCAGGCTCAAACGTGATAACAAGCCTATTAGGCCTGTCAGGCGGCTTGGGCTTGTTGTTATTTTTTTTAGGGTTAAAATTTTAAATTTGCTACAAGTACTGAAATTTAACCTAGGTCAAGTTGTTCCTATTAGCTTCTTCTCTTCTTCTTTGCTAATCACTAGTCGGCAATCCACGACACACCCCAAACCACAGTCATAGGCGCACAGTGGCACATTCAGCCACTCAATCAGTTGCACACGCTTCTTCCCTTCTTCTTTGCTAACCTTCATATTGGCTTCTTCCCTTCTTCTTCCATTTTGTTCTTCACTTCTACAATATGTAGTTCATGCTGTGCATTTTTTATTCTTTAGTTCTTCATGCCATTGCTGTTCACTGACGCGTCCCGTTTTGTTCTTCGCTTCTACAATCTGTAGTCCGTGCTCTGCCTTTTCCATTATTTCATTCTTCACGCCAATGTTGTTCGCTAACGCTACCTGTTTAGTTCTTCAATTCTACAATCTGTAGTTCGTGCTCTACCTTTTTGATTCATTCATTCTTCATGCCATCGTTGTTTGCTGACGCCGTGACTCCAATCTCCATTCTTAGGTATGTGGCTCATGTTTTTATATATATATATATATATATATAGTCATGCTCTGCTTATTGATTCTTTTATTTATGGTGTGTGACTCGTTCGTGTTTATATATATTGTCATCTTCTGGATTTATGGTGTGTGACTCGTTCATGTTCATATATATATTTGTGTATATAAGATAATAGTTACCGCACCATTTATAGCAGGGTAACACTCTTTTCACTTCCATGATACTTCCACACAATTTATGGCTTTGTAAGAACTTTGGACAGGTTATAAATTATATCTAATTATATCGTTCGTGCTCTTAAATGGTGCATTCATTCTTGCATGATATTATCCCTTTCTCGCCTTTTTCTCTCTCTTAGTTCTAGTCAAAGCAATTCCAATTTCAATCTAACAAAAACGAGATCTCTCCAAAATGTGAATGCAGATTAGGATTTTCTTCCTTGAGGATTTTTTTTTCATTATGTGACTAATGGACACATATGTACCCCACCCACGTTCTTCTATGTTCACCTCATTACTATTGTGTATTTTCTTATGTATTTGGTGCCCGTGAGAATAAAATGTGCCAACTTTTATATTATTCCTCCCATTTTCTTTCATATCAGCTTTTCAATTTGCTTTTCATTTTTCAAGTAGTCTTGTGTTTTCTCAAGCATTTTGATTATTAAGTATATTAATTTACATATTCTTCATTTTTCTAATTTTTTGTTGCTATTGAGTTCTAGAGTTCTAGTTAATGTCAACTCTACTTGAGAGTGAAACAATGCCATCTAACTCAATTTCTCCTAATACAACTGAGGTCAATCAAGAAGCACCATCAAATTCTAGTCAACAAACTAATGATAAGAATGATAGTAGTGATAGTATCATTTAGAAAAAGAGGCAAAAAAACTTCAACTATTTGGGAGGAAACAAATCAAGTTAAAACTAATAATGGGGTCAAAGGTAGATACAAGTATTACAAAAGTCTATTTGCATACTTAAACAAGGGAGTTAGCACTTCCCATCTTTAGAGACATGTCAGAGCTTGCTTGCAAAGGAAGTTGCACATTTCTTCACAATAAAAGCAACCCACCATTCTATTTGAATCTTCTAATCAGAGTGTTAATCCATCATAGCACCTGGTGCTAGATATTCCAATGAAAAGATGAGGGAAATAATGGCTACTATAATTATGGTACATAAGCATCTTTTTAACATTATTGAGAACAAAGTTTGGATGTGGGGCTTTCAATACGCAAATTCTAAATTTTAGAATATTTCTCGTAAAATGGCAAGAAATGATTGTTTGGCTATATATGTGGCATAGAAGAAACAATTGAGACCCTATTACAAGGTGTGAGCAATATTATTTTGACTGCTAATATGTGGAAATCAGCTCACTAAGTAGCTGAATACATGGTTATCACTGGACATTTCGTTGATACGGGGTGGAATATGCAAAAGAGGGTTTTTGAGTTTTGTGAAAGTTCCTGCTTCTAGACAGGGAATTGAGATGACAAATGCTACTTTGAAGTGTTTGAAGGCTTGGGGATTGAAAACAAAGTATTTTGTGTTAGTTGACAATGCTTCTTATAATCATTCTTATTTAGGAGCTCTTAGAGATACCTTATCACTTAGTAATTCATTGGCTCTTGGTGGTAGCTTGTTTTGTGTTAAATATTGTGCACACACACTAAACTTATTGGTGCTAGATAGTCTTGGTAAAATTAGGGACATCATACATAATGTCACTGAGAGTGTGACATATATTAACTATAATGATTCAAGGCTAAAATCATTTTGTGATATTGTTGAGCAAGAACGTTTGAAGAAAAAGAAGCTTATTATTGATTGTCCAACAAGGTGAAATTCTACGTATAAGATGTTGTCTATTGCATTCAAGTTCAAGGTTGTCTTTCCCTCTTATAAAGAAAGAGAGCCACATTACAACGATGCACCATTAGAAGAGGACTAGAATAAGATTGAGAAGATTTGTGAACTTTTAGAAGTATTCAATCTAGCCACCCATGTGATCTTAGGTAGTGAGTATCCTACTGTAAATTTATACCTTCTTGAAATTTGGAGAGCAAAACAAGTAACTGATAATGTCACAGAAGACAGTGACTTCTTAATTAGATAAATAGCATCCTCAATGAAAGAAAAGTTTGACAAATATTAAGAGGAATACAATATGGTAATGGCCACTACAAGTGTTCTGGATCCTAGGTGCAAATTATATGTTGTTAATTATTGTTTTTCTTTGATTTATAAACTTGATCATGTGGCTTTTGAGAATAGAGTGGTGAGCACTTTGAAAACAATGTATGATGAGTATGTTGACATGTATAAGGTAGAGACAACTATGGGTAATGAATTTGATAATGCTAGCAACAACTCTTCTGTCAATGTTTTTGTTTCTTCCATAGTTACTGGATTCGACCAAATCATGAGCATTGTTGGTGAAAAACAAGCAATTTTTCCAATGAAATCAGAATTGGAAGCTCACCTTGAGGAGGGTGTTTACATTCCTGAGGGTAGTTCTAACTCATTTGGTGCCTTGGAGTGGTGGAAAAATAATAGTCTAAAGTATAAGATTTCATCTAAGATGACAGCTAACATATTAGATATTCCAATTTTAATAGTGGCATCAGAGTCCACATTCAGTGCTAGTAGTAGAGTTATTGATGAATATCATTCTAAATTAAATGAACAATCAATTAAAGCACTTATTTATGGTAGATATTGGCTTCGCAATAAGTATAGTTTGAAAAAAAAAACCAAAGGTACAAATTTTGAATTCTAAAAATAATACCATTTCTTATATTCATTGGTTATTAAATTTTGTTATGATCTAATATATATTTGATTCCTTCTTCTCAGGTGTTTGAACAAGAAGAAGAAATTGTGTTGGATATTTAATGCTTTGTGGTTTGATGATTTGTTGTAATTGTAACAAGAACGAATTGTGTTAATCTGATTATTTCATTTTTTTTTTTTGTGTTTTAAATAACTTGGATTGAGTTATTGTAATTTTGAATTAATTTACATATGTTTGAAATTTGTTA